ATGGTCACCAGAAGAGCGTGTTGGATTCCCCCAGGACTGGAGTTACAGACAGTTGTAAGCTGCCGTGTGGGTGCTGGGAACCAAACCTTGTTTATCACCGGGAAGAGCAGCAGTGCTCTTAGCTGCTGAGGTATTTCTTCAGCTCGACTTGTATGCCTCGTCCTGTGTGCTCGGTATTTCGGAAACTGTTACTTTCACTGCAGTGTGTATTTCCAAGTACGTTCTGCTCGAGTGGTCCGCCTTGCAATATCATTTCCTGAGGGGCTAGGGATCCCTGGCTGTGAATGCAGTCTGCTCTGTTTCCCTGGCGTCTTCGGGTTGTGTAATTAGGTTGCTGCCAAATTTCCCGGCACTTAGAAACTGCTGCAGGGGACACTTCTGGGCCCAGATCACTGCACAAACAAGGGAGAAACACATTCATCTTTACAGAAAAGCCCTAAGTTTTATAGCCCCTTTGGAACTAGGATTCAGGTCAGGCCCCCCACCGACTGGCCTGCTCCACCCTCTCTGCATTGCTCCAGCTGTCCAAGCAACTGTGTCTCTTACTAACCCTTTTGGGGGTATGTTGACCTTTTGGGAAGGTACTGGGAGGTGACGTCTACCTTTCTAGAATGTTTTCAGGGCACATCCTCACAGATTTGGGGCTGGTGTTCAGAACTTCATAGCCCCTAGGATCCTCTCAGGCATTTGCCGTGAGTTCTGTGCTGAGAAAAGTAGGGCTCCAGCTTCAGGGTGGGCACACTGCATCTCTGCTGCGTCTATTTTGCTATGGCCAAAGCCCTTCGGCAGGACCCTGCACCTGCCAGGACCAAAATGCCCGGACTGGCGACAGGGGCAGGGCCTGCTTCCTATGGCTGGAGTAGGGACAGTTCTGTCACTTCTGGGTGAAGGGTAATTTTGTCACTGAGGGACTCAGTTGCCTGCTGCCTACCTGGTACTTTGGCCTGGGCGAGATTGTAAGCCTGAAACGCAAAGTCTGATTGCTGGTGCTTAGGTTGCTCAGGGCTCACAGGACAGATGTCATTTATTGCTTGGTAGTGGGGAAAAGGCAGGTTTGCGGAGGCCTCCTCTGGAGATAGCTCTCCTGTTGATCCAGGTCTGCCTTGAGAGCCCCTCTCTGTTCCTCGGGTCCTTCCTGCTCATTCTGCTTTGGAAGGTACTGATCTGTGGGCATTCTTTTAGGTGCGCTGTCCCCGCAAGGCACCCCAGAGGTGGACAACTGAATGTGTGTTCTGGCCCTTTCTCTGACTTTGACCCCGTTTGTGGTGTGATCAGTGTCACCTCTTCTCCAGAGACGGGCACACATTCCAGCCACATAGAACCTCAGCTAGAAATGTAGATTCTTGGACCCCAGACACGGTGTGGGGTGGGGTCTGCCTTCTGTCGTGTGTATGGACTGACAGGCTGCTAGTATCTGAACGTTTGGACCTAGAGCACCTGTGTGTGGGGGTGGAGCCAAGATTTGCATCTACGATCCGGACCCTGCCTGCCACTGCATCCTCTAGACTGCTCACTCCTTCATTTAGTGCCCACTGCGCGTGTTTGGGTATCAGTGAACAGCTCAGCAAAGTCTAGTGTCTGGTGCAGTTGTTTCTGTAGCACGGCTGTTCTCATGGGACCTGACCTCTCCTTCCTGCTCCCTGTATGCCCCCAGCACACACCACTAGCTAGGCTTGTGGTCTGAGGGAGGGGGGGGTGTCTCCGTTTGTTATCAGGGACGCAGCTGGGAGGCGGAAATGAAAGTTGGGAAAATGTCATCATTTGACATTTTCATGCTCAGAAGTCCCCAGGGGCCCTGGCAGGGAGGCTTTTGATGGTCAGCCGAGAGTGCTAGCCCTGGGGACACCTGGTTGTCTAATCTCAGAGCGGGAAGCCACACAGAGTAGCATCGTGGGGGTGGGAGGTACTGGATGCTTTTTCTGTGCCGCAAGGAGTTGGCTCTGCGCTTACCCTTCATCAAGGTTCACAGGGAGCCCCCAGCCCCATGTAACCATAGTTCTCTTGAGGTCCTGTATATGTCTCTGAGGATCCTGCCTGGGGTCACTAGAGTCAGTTTCCTCTCCCTACACAGATGCCATGTGGAGGGCACATAGCACATTAGGACGGAGGGAAGGGCACCCCAACATAGTTGATCGTGTTTAAGCCATGGAAGGAGCTGTCGGCCCTGCCTCCTGCCGTGTCTTCAAGTCCTCTCCAAACTGCTAATGGTGACTTTGGTCTTACAGTAAGATGTGTGTGCCCAGGGCCGGGCTTAGAGCAGCTGCCGGAACAATACTGTCTTCTGGGACCACAGACACATGGGTGTGGAAGACCTATGTCTGTCTACCTGTAGGAGGTCATGGTCTCCGCCTGTGGGAAATGAGGCCTTGGCAGTTGAGTCTGGGCTGGCAAACAGATGTGGTTTTCTGTACTGTGGCTGACTGATGAATGGTACTGTCTTAGGACTCTGCTAAAGTTGCTTTGCCTCTGTTGGCTCATAGGAAAGTATATATCAATTGATTAGCAATACTTGCCTTAGAAGGCATTGTTGACAGAAAGTTTCTGTCCTGCCTGGGCCTGCAGCCGTTCCATCCCAAAGAAACACACAGACGTCTACATTAATCATAAACTGGTTGACCTATTAGCTCAGGCTTCTTATTAATTAATTCTTACATCTTAAATTAGCCCATTATTCTTGTCTATGTTAGCCACTTGGCTTTGGTACCTTTTTCAGTGAGGCATTCTCATCTTGCTTCCTCTGCATCTGGGTTACGACTGCAGACTCAGCCTTTCCTCTGTCCAGAATTCTCCCATTCTGGTCACCCTGCCTATTCTTCCTGCTTGGCTACTGGCCAATCAGCGTTTTATTAAAATACAAGTAACAGATCTTTCCAGGGTACAAGACCATTGTCCCACAGCAAGGCATGAGGAGGGCAGCGAGTGTGCCACCGGCCAGCCAAATCCTTCAAGGCTTATATTATTTCCAGCATCTAGAATATAATATTGCCTTAAGTGGGCTTTTGTTTGTTTTTTTTTTGTTTTGTTTTGATTTGTTTTTTGGTTTGTTTGTTTTTTTCTTTGTTTTCTGAGACCCGGCTTCTCTGTGTAGCTTTGGAGCCTGTCCTGGAACTCACTCTGTAGACCAGGATGGCCTTGAACTCACAGAGATCCACCTGCCTCTGCCTCCCAAGTGCTGGGATTAAAGGCGGCCACCACTGCCGGGCTTTGCCTTAAGTTTTATTCCGCCTAAATATTTAGAGCCTTTTAAATCCAAAACTAATAACAAAAGCCATTTTGCTTGTTATTTGTAAAAGGCCCCTTGTAGAGCCGGCTGGTGGGGGCCACGACTGGGCCAGCTGCACATGGGCCTTTTGAGACGCGTCTGAGCAAACACAGAGGACCCCAGTTATTCCCCGTCATAACTTCCCTGAGTGTCAGCCCCTGAAATACAGACACTGACAGGAGGCCCAGACACACACTCAGCTGTGGACGGGGTCCGCCACCCGCTGCGCATAGAAAAGGCCTTTGCTGTGGTGTTTTTCCTTTGAAAATTGCTGCTGAGTGCAGAACAGCCTAAAGGAACCCCAGGGAGTGCGTGCCTGCAGGGGTCTTTGTGTAAGTGAGCACATCCCTCTTTTCCTGCTTACCAACTGTACACAGTGAGATGGTAAGGCCGGGAAGCCGATGGGGTCGCATATGTGACACCCTCTGAGCTCAGTTTCCCAGGACAGCCAGGGCCTGGTGTCTGCAGTGAGCCGTGGCTCCCAAGACCCTTTTCCTGGTTCTCTTCTCCACCCCAGGTGCTCATGTGCACACGAACCTGCACATAACGCATACTCGAGAGCTTGTAGCACACACATGCAGTCACATACATAGATATAAGTAATATATATATATATATATATATATAACACGGTTATGCTCATTCACACCTCTAGGACACATAGGAGCCTGCATGGATGCATGAACTTGGCACACACGTGTGGTAGTCTCGAGGTTCAGGTTTGTGCCTGGTGCCTGTTTTCAGGCATGCTTGGCTCCCGCCCGTTCTGTTGATAAACTGTGAACAGCTTCTCCTTCTGTCTCTTGTTATGTCACACCCTTTATTCTTGGGCCAGCCATTTCCTTCTCCCTTCCCTTAGTTTTTTCATATTGATCCGTGGAGTCTCCAACTGTGGCCCGTCTCACCTCCCCGTGCACACGCTTGTTTTCCCCGAGTCCTGATGAAGCTCTGTGGACTAACAGAGGCATTGAGGTTGGGCAAGCTACCTGTCTGGAAGCTCCTGGCTAATTAAGGGTTGGACTGGGTTGCTTGGGCTGAGGAATGTCCATTGTTGCCTGCCTTGGGTTTTGAGGAATCTGTCAGCCTGGGGATCCACGTGGCTCAGTACCTGGACCTTCTTATCCTTTGGTATCCTGACTGGAGCCGGTGTCTGTTGAGATGTCAGACATGGACTGGGGCTTGCAGCAAGCACTGCGCATGGATGTTTGTGTCCGTGTGGCGCCGCAGCTTTGGTGTGGTTATAGTCAATTGCTGGACCTCGCTGGGCCTCCATTTCTCCATCTCCAAGATAGGTTAGTCCTTACTGTGGACATGGGCTGCCATTAGTCTTATAGACCCTTCTAGAATAGCAGCACTGGATGAGCCTTTTGTAGGTGTGACCTCAGTTAAGACAGACCCACAACAACCCTAGTGAAGCATTTCTTCCCCATGCTAAAAAAAGCAGTTTGGGGGTTTGTAGCTGACCAGGGGTTGGTGAAGGAGCACCGTCACATGAATGGAAACCCATTCCTCCTGGAGGCACCCTACCATGAGCACGGCAGCTCTCAGCAGATATTAACGTGGCCAAATGACAGATTTCACGGAGTAAACACTACACAGGTGCTGAGCCTGGGAAGCTCTATGTTGTTCTTACGAGGTGTGCTTAGTTAACAATTTCCACGCCTGCAGAACGCTTGGTGCCGTTTGCGACGACTTCCTGGTGGGCTGATGTTACAGAACTCTCTCTTCTCCTCCGCAGGTCATCTCTGCAGTGTCCCGACTGTCTCTGCACAGCATCGCGCAGAACAAAGGGATCAGGTGAGTTCCACAGTGACACCGGGAGGGCAGGCCCTTTCATCTTGATGCTATCGACACGGACTGGAGTTGTATAGACATCCTCTTCCTGAAGCAGGCGCTTTCACAGTGCACTCTGGCTGCGTATTGGCAGCAGCCAAGGTTGTGTGGAAGGGGGGGGCCTGTGGGTTCACACCAGGGAAATCCTGCGAGCGTGTTACTGACAGCTGCAAGATCGCTTTTGATTTAGGTACTAAGATCAGCAAATTAACCCTACCACAGATCATTGCCTACCTGAATGCACCTCTCCGGCTCTGGACCAGGAGCTGGTTTGAGTGCTGGAGCTGGTGTAAGTTTACAGGGATGGGTCCGGAGTGCAGAGCGCTTCTCTACCCACAAGCCTTAGCACTCCTGTAGCCCCTGTGGGTCGTCACGCTCTGAAGAACTGCGTGGACAACACTTTCGCTGCTGATGCTTCTGAGGCCTGCGGCTCTATCTCTGATTCATGGGTGGGATGCAGGGGGAGGGCTGGGTGATGCAGCTGAGACCTGGTCATTGCAGATTTTGACTTCTGATGGTACAGGTCAGGGAGATAGGTCTTAGGTCACCTGGGGACATCCTCAAGCTCTCCTTTCCTGCCATGTCTGAGGGTTCCCTGATGATACAGGCCAGTGATGGGGTAACGGGAATGGCCCCCCTCCTGAGAGCTGAGCATGCAGGCCACCCTGGTACAAGTGACATCCTGTGGGTGTTCCGTTGGTGTACTCTGTTTTGTCTGTACATGTCTGTGTACACACGCTGGGCCCTGGGGTAGCACGATGTCCCTTGGTTCATAGGTCAGGGGCCATGTCAGTGCATCCATGAGACATTTGTTGCATGGCTTCTTCAGGACTTGGAAGCTCCTTTGAATCAAAGTCTTTTTCTTTTTTGTTCGCCGGAAGACAGACTGTTTTAAATGTTTTCTTTGTAGTGCTTCTATAGCTATAAACAGCAAATCGCTGAGAACTGATGAGATAGTATATACTCTACTTGAAGCTTAAAGCAGGTTTAAGAGTTAAGGCCAGCCTAGGCTACATCACGGCTAGCCTGGGTTACATTGTGAGACTTCTATCAAAAGTGATAGCAACAGCAAAAACAAACTTTAAGTAGCTTACTAGAGATGGGTGCTGGCCAGCTTGTTACAGAAGCCTGTGCTGGTAACCAGCTTGGAGATTTTTGAACTCAAAGGTCATGCAGATCTGCTGGACCTAGGTTCGAGGAGTTCTGGTGATGGGCCAAGCCTGGCTGCGCCCAGCTGGGGTGTCCCAGAGGAGCCGAGAATTGAAATGCCTCATGGAACCACTGTCCTGGTCTTCAAGTTTCACCATGGAGTCATTGTTGCAGCTGATTCCCGGGCCACAACAGGTGCTTACATTGCCTCCCAGACAGTGGAGAAAGTGATAGAGATCAACCCCTACCTTCTGGGCACCATGGCTGGGGCTGCAGTCGATTGCAGCTTCTGGGAGCTGCTGTTGGCTCAGCAATGTCGAATCTATGAGCTCCAAAAATAAGGGATGCATCTCTGTCACAGCAGCCTCCAAAGTTCTTGCTAACATGGTGTATCAGTACGAAGGCATGGGGCTGTCCATGGGCGCCATGGTCCGTGGCTGGGATAAGGGAGGCCCCGGCCTCTACTATGTAGCCAGTGAGGGGAACCGGATCTCTGGAACTGCCTTCTTGGGTTCCGGCTCCATGTGTGCTTATGAGGCCATGGATCAAGACTACTCCTATGACCCAAGTGGAGCAGGCTTGTGATCTGGCCTGCTGAGCCATCTACCAAGCCACCTACAGAGATGCCTACTCTGGAGGTTCAGTCAGCCTCTACCACGTGCGGGAGGATGGCTGGATCCGTGTCTCCAGGGACAATGTTGCTGACTTACATGTCAAGTATAGTGCGCCTGTCCCCTGATGGAAAGCAGGCATGGCCGTCTGTACCTGTTTGGGGGCTCCTATTGGTTATAATAAATAATAGCACCCCCCAAAAAACTTTAAGTAAAAGCCAAACAGTAATAACAAGTTGTGTCCCCCTCAGCACTCTGGGCTTACACTGCAGCACACACCTGCGGGGCGCCTGGCCCCGCCCTGCTGTAAGCTATTAGTGTAAAGTCCTTAAGAGGCTCCACTTAAAGACGTCCAGTTAAAAAAGTGCCATATCTGGACACAGTGACACATGGTTTGCAGCTATTTGCTTTGGCAACTGAGCAGTTGTAAATTCTTTGCCATGCTGGCCCGTCACTGTGATGGTCCTCGTCACAGCTGTGCACCCCACCTGGCTCACACACTCTGCATTGTGTATCCACAGACAAAAGTGACATTCTCTCATCAGATTCCAGCCAGCGTGCGTACCCTGTGCAGAATCCTAAGTGTGCCCCCCCATCTTATTATAGTATCCCCAAACTGGAGGGAGGCCAGCTGCTGTGGCCTGCTGTCAGCCAAGTGTGATCCAGCTGCCGTTCCCTGCCCTTCAAGACCGAGGTGCCCCATGGACAGTGCGGATGGCTTTTTCCTGGGGTTTTGTCCTTGGCAGTGAGACCCTAGTGGTGGTTTCCAGAGTAGCTGAGACTGTGGAGAACTGCCCAAAGGTTGTGCTCTCCCTGGTTAGCGTGGAAACATCCCTCTGCTTCCGTGATTGAGCAGGGGCCTCGCGGGATGCAGGGAAAGTTTGAGTTCATAGCCACAGTCAAGGAGCCATGTTAGCAGATGAGGGAGGTTGGCCAGTGTCTAGGAGAGAGTGACCAGGGGCTCCTCTATTAGCAGAGTCAGCTGCGCACTGTGATACCAGGCTGGATGGCCAGTAGGGAGCCCACCAGGCTGATGGGTCTGCTGCTGTAGTTGGTCATGGGGACACTTCAGCCACTTAATCCTAGTCCTCTCTATTCTACTGATACTGTGTGACCCTAAGCCCAGGCCTGCAGGGCTTCAAAGGGTATGCCAGGGGACTTTACCAGACTAAGGATTGACGGGTAAGAAGTCACCTTCTGAAGCTTGTAGGAGCCAAGCCCTCTTTTGGAGCGTAAGTTTGTTTCACCAAGTATACTGAGTTTCCCTTTTACTGAATAGAGCATGGGGACAGTTGGGAGGCCAAAAAAGGAGGGAGGAGGGCCTGCAAGGTGGCTCAGTGGGTAAAGGCACTTGCCGCAAAACCTGAGGACAGAATTCAACCCAGGACTCACAAGGTGGAAGGGAGAACGGACTTCTCCAAGATGTCCTCTGATCTCCACCTGTGCCCTGGCACAAGCGGCCCTACCCCTAAATAAATGTAATAGATTTTTTTTTTTAAATGAGGCCAGAACCTCTCGGATGATGGAGGGTGGTGCTTTGATCAGCCCTAGCCCTCCTCTGGCTCTCCCATAGCCTCCCTCTGAACCTCACAGCTAGACTCTGCCCTGCCTTCTCAATGCTTGCCTCTCCTTCTTGGGCTGACCCATGCTGAATCATTCTAGAGAAAATGGTGTCTGTCATTCCATGCCCCTGCTCCTATGTGAGCCCAGGTGACCAGGCCCATGCTGAGCTTGCTGAGTCTGAGTGCTGTCTCTTCCACACGGGCTGAGATTGCCCCGGAGACTTGCATTTTCCAAGGACACCGCCGCTGCCGCTTCCCACGGCAACTGCCAGTCTCTTCGCCTGAAAATGCTTCCCGGTGTTAATAAGTAACAGAAGGTTTTGTTTAGCCGAACACTTTTCCTGTTTTAAATCCCACACACCAAGCCCACTGCCCCAGGACTCTCCCTGGATTCCTCATGGCTGGATGGGAGCCCAGCATGCTGTTTAAAGAAGAATCCTTTTCACTTTGTATAATAAGTTGATTTTCTGTAAAAGCTTCAATTACACTTCTCATAGGCAGTGAATTAGAGACTTAATTTGAGTCTCACCCTGCTTAGTAGGGCACTCAGACATGGGGTAGAGGAGGGAGGGGGCAAAGCAGCCCAGGAGTGTGGAGTAGCAGAGTCTTTGTCCTGGTCAGAACACACCTGAAGCCTGGGGTTGTCCTAAGTTGAGGTCAGACTGGCTAGGAGGAAGGACATGTTACCAAGGTTCAGAAAGGATGCTCCCGCAAGCTAGTGGTGTCAGGAAAAGATGTGCTCAGTTGTGTCATTACTCCTTGGGGTTGCTTTAAGTCTATATGTTGTATAGCTCCTGGTACCCACAGGCTGATGATACCCACAGGCTATAGCCCATTAAGGGAGGCTGAATGGTGCCCCTCCCCACCCAAGATTCACCATCCTCCTAATCTTTGGGCGTCTACTTTGTAGGTGTGTCAGGGAAATAGGTCCCTACAGGTGTGAGTTTTTTTTTTTTTTTTGGTATAATGAATGTTTGTGATAAGAAGGATCCAGGGAGGCAAGGTTCAGATGCAGAGGTTGGGATGATGAGGTGTCTGACCTAGGATATAATCAAAGCTAGCAGCCAGAAAGGCAAGGCAAGGACCAAGTCTCCTCTGGAGCCTCCCAACAGGACATAAAGATGCTCCTGGAAGACTTGTTTTGGATCATGGCCTCCTGAGTCATGAGGTGGTAAACTATTCTTTTATGCCCTTCAGATTGGGGTGACTTGTTACTGCAGCCAGGACTCACAGAAGACCACCTCTGGGGCAGATCCTCAGGGCCTGTGGGATGAACTTGCTTCTCCCTTAGAAGATTGATTGCTCGTTGGAGCAGACCCGGCTTCCAGTTCTAGAGTATTGTCCCAGACCAGCCCCACCACAATGCCTTCTCTTTGGCGTTTAAATTTTGAGGTAAAATTCACACAACATTAAATTGACCTTGTTTCAGACACAGAGCCTTGTGTAGCGTAGGCTGGGCTTGAACTCACTATATAGCTGAAGATGGCTTTGAACTCCTGGTTTCCATGCCTCTGCTTTCCCAGTGCTGGGATTACAGGTGTGTGCTAGCTCACCTGGGTAGTATGATCATTTTAAAGTACAGTTTGTTTAGGCAGTGGTGGTGCACACCTTTAATCCAGCACCTGGGAGGCAGAGACAAGCG